CCTCTCCCCTCCACACCCTGGTGCAAAGGCCTATCCACAGGTGTGGCTGTATGCTGGGCCTGTAGTCAGTGACGGGTAAGATCCAATTGCAATGGTACCGACCTAAGACAGGAGGCTGACGCCTTGAGGTCAGCTCATCCGATGACGGGTAAGAACCATATGTACTATTGGACAACCTAAGGCAGGCAGGTCCCTAAGCCACATGCTTGTTGTTTAATTAAACAGAAGCGGGGAGATGCTGAGAGCCACAGCTGAGTCGGGATGACGCAGGCATCTTGCCAGAAGTAATGGTTGAGAGGTGAGCCATTAAGATGTTGCTGGATTGAAACAGGCTGTGTGCTCAATTGAATATAGACCCCTGCTGTCCACCTCAGGCGCCCGCTACTTTGGAGTTCTCGCAGGGATTCCTGGGGAGTTGGCGTTGGTTGGTGAAGTTCCGGTGGACGGAGTTCCGGTTGGTGTGTGGTGTGCCTAGAAGGACCTCGTGGGTGGCATTCGGGGGAGTTCGGAAGTAAAGTTTGTTCCTGCTTGAGTGGCTTGTGATGTGTGCCCAGCCAGACTGTGGCATGTAAGCTAGATATCAATGTAGCTATAATAAATATATACTAATAAAAACTGAGTGGGCTGGGGCTGTGGCTTAGCAGTAGCACACTTGCCTGGCATGTGGCTGGGTTAATACTCATCACCACATATAAATAAATAAAATAAAGGTCTATCAACAACTAAGAAAATATTTTTAAAAACTGATAGACTTACAAGGACAAATTTACAATTATCTTCAGCAGTTTCATGCCCCTTCTCAATAGTTTACAGAATAAGAGTACAAAAAATGAGTAAGGATATAGAAAATTTGGACACTATTAACCATCCTGAACTAATTGACAGTTATAAAACATTCCACTCACTAATAGAAGAACACATATGTTTTCCCAAGTATACACTGAACATTTACCAAGATAGACCACCACATCCTGTACCAAAAAACAAATTGCAAAAAAAAAAAAAAGATTCAAGCCAAAGTGTACCCTGACCACAAGGGGATTAAATTAGAAATCAATAACAGATTCCTATTTGCTAACTAAATGACATGGTTCTAAATGACACCTGGACCAAATAGGAAATCAAACATGAAATTAGAAAGTATTTTAAGCCAATAAAAAATGGAAACAATAGGGGCTGGGATTGTGGCTCAGTGGTAGAGCGCTCACCTAGGACACGCAGGGCCCTGGGTTCTATCCTCAGCACCACATAAAACTGTATTCTGTTTGGAATACAGATATTATGTCCAACTACAACCAAAGAAATAAATATTTTTTTTTAAATGGAAACAATAGGGCTGGGGTTGTGCTCCGTGGTAGAGCGCTCGCCTAGCACGTTCGAGGCCCTGGGTTCAATCCTTAGCACCACATAAAAATAAAATAAAAATATTGTATCCAACTACAACTAAAAAATAAATATTATAAAAAATGGAAACAGGGGCTGGGATTGTGGCTCAGTGGTAGAGCGCTTGCCTAGCACGGGCGTGACCCGGGTTTGATTCTCAGCACCACATAAAAATAAAGGCATTGTGTTGTGTCCATCTCTCTCTCTCTCTCTCTCTCTCTCTCTCTCTCTCTCTCTCTCTTAAAAAATGGAAACAATATACAAAATATGTGGTATGTTATTAAGCAGTGTTTAGGAGAAGTTTACAAAAGAAGAGGTTTCAAATCAATAAGCTCAGATTTCCCATAAGTAGAACAAATTAAGCCAGGTGTGGTGGCACATGCCTGTAATCCCAGCAGCTGGGGAGGTGGAGGCAGGAGGATCGAGAGTTCAAAGCCAGCCTCAGCAAAAGTGAGGCACTAAGCAACTCAGTAAGTCCCTGTCTCTAAATAAAATACAAAATAGGGTTGAATATGGGGCTCAGTGGTTGAGTGCCCCTGAGTTCAAGCCCTAGTACCAAGAAAAAGAAAAAGAAAAGAAAGAACAAATTAAAGGAAATAAAGATCAAGGAAGATCTCCCAAAGGCCAAAGGTGGAAAACTATGAGCAATGGATTGAATGATATCATATTGGATTATAATCCTACATGTAAAAGAAATACACATAGGTAATCTATAC